TCCCTCTCCCGGGACGAGCGAGCCGTTTCTTGCCACCGGCAGCTTCAGCAAGCATGGTGCGTCTTTTTCTAGACATGCCCTTGCATTTGGGAGAAAAAAGATTTGGGAAACTGCTTTTGCTCCCCAGCATTGACCAGAGGGCAAAGGGGGCTGGGGAGGGATTGAGGGTAACAGCGTAGTTCTGACTGCCTAGTTTTCTTCCTCCCATAGACAATGCTTCGTATCCCGGTGTCACAGCGAAGCTTCTCTGCATTGATGTCGTGGAGCTCAAGGGTCACCTTTGTTTAACATTTACGGATAACGGGGCAGGAATGACCCCTCACAAGCTGCACCGCATGCTCAGGTATGAGCTACGCGCCTGCCCGCAGCCGCCCTGGACTCCCCTCGCTCCTGTAAGCGTTGCTGCTTTTGGCTCCGGTTCATAGGCGTCCAGCGTGAAGGCATACATCTCCGTGCTTTTTCCTTCCTTGCTAGCCCCCCAGCATGCAAGGGTTTAAGATGATTACTCTTATATAGGTGCACAGTCTGCCTCAAGATGTAATGGGTAGTCTAGGGACTTGTAGCCAACTTTTTACTTGTTATTAAATGCCCCGCCATAAGCCATTTGGAGCTGTGTTGTGCAAACCATGCAGCAAGCAGAGGAAGTGCTTTCAGTCAGGGACGCAGATAAGATCTATTTAGAAACGAACATTTGCGCCTGAAGTCAAACCAAGAGTCTTTTTCTGCAGACTCGCGTTAGAGAGGAGCTTCCCCTCTCGTCTGCCTTCCTCTGTGGATGCTGAAGTGAGTTGTGGCTTTAGAGGCCGTGTTTATATCACGTTAATCTTTCTCTGTGGTGTAAGGAAGGCTTTTCTGGTAGTGCTGACAGAGAATGAAACAGGCTAATAGCAGAGATTTTAAGTGTGACATTGTGTGACAAGGAAGTTCAGTTCACTAGGACTTTTGTTTAATTACATAACTAACTTCAACAAAAATAGGTTTTAAGCTTTCAGTTGGATGAGCTCAGTGATACCAACCTTCTAAAGACAACATAACTTTACCAGGGCACTTCGGGCTGTAGCCTCAACATAGAGAAGCATTTGCCAGGTTGAAATTTTTCCTGCTAAAGCAGCAGCTGTGTTTTCTGAATGCTCTTTTGATTGTCTCTAGACTAAAATTTTTCAAGGCTGGAGGCAGGAGTGTTTCATTGCAACCCCCCTGCACTTTGCCTTCTGCTGTAGCTTATCTGCTAGGGGTGGTTGAATTACTCTAGAGCAGACTAGTGTTATTTGTTGATGGTAGTAAACTGGTTGGAACTTCTCTTAAAATCCACAGAGGTCACTAAATGTGCCCAAGTGGACAGGACATTACTTGCCACTTACAGCACGCAAAAACTGTCAAGTGACTGATAAATTTTTCTGAAGTCAGGACAGAGCAGAAGGCTGTTTCTTCCTGTAACCTGCTGCTTTCATGCTTTTAGGAGACTGTTCCGTTGCTTGCAGGCACCCAGCCTGCCTCCGGGGTCTCCCTTCTTGGTATTGCCAGGCCCTCTCTTCCTGCCAGCAGTGCCTTTGTGGGCAGGGATGGCTCCTGGCTGGGGCTGCTCCTCGCTCTGACTGTGGCTGTTCCTCTCCCAGAGCTGCTGCCACTGCAAATTGTCCAGGCTTCAGTTTTGCTTCATGAGTTGCTCCTTTTCTAGATGGCTTTGCAAAGCACGGTCATTTCCAGGGTGGGATTGAAGGGCTTAGGGTTTCATTTTGTTCCTGTCTGACTGTTTTGTTTGATAGCAGTGAAAAGGTGGGGGAGCAAAGCAGAGCAACTGTCATTTCTTCAAATGCAGCAAGTGCAAAACCACAGTGCTTCAGAAAAGCGAGAGGGGTTCAGGAAGTGAAAACCAGAAGCCCTGGCCCCTTCTTACCCTCGCTTCAACAGAGGAAGGAGGTGCCCTGGGCTTCACACTTGTCCTCTCGCTGGCCCTGGCGCATCTGTGGGTTGGAGTGGGAGGGTGACAGACCAGGAGCTGGGGAAGCCCTGGTGCAACACTGCAGTGGCAGCTGGAAGCTGTTTGCAAAATCCTTCCCCTGTGGTAGTGCAAGAAGGCAAGAAGAGGGTAAGAGGGAGATGGCCGGGGGGGAAGCAACGTATTATAAGCAGGTCTAGGGCAAAATCAGAACAGGCTAGGCTGAAGCGTAGCAAAACCACAAAGCAGCACTCCTCCTTTCCCCTACTGCTGCTTCTTGCTTCATGCTTTGGTGTGTAGTGGAGGAGCAGGTCATGCCCGTGCTGGTGCTGGTGTTTGTGGAGGAGGCCAGAGGTGGGGCTTGGTGCAGGGTTAGGAAGAAGAGGCACATGGGGTCTCCCTGGCTGGCTGGTGGCCTGGATGTGCAGGGCTGCAGGTTGCCTTGTTCCTCTGCCTCTTGATTTCCTTATTTGTTAATGGAAAAACATTGTAGAGGTGCTTTGGGTTGGTTAGGGCTTGGAGTCCCTCCCCAGGTGCTAAAGAAATGCTTACTGTGGATAGCACTTCCACTCCCTCGATGTGGTTTTCAGTGCACAGTGGAAGGAGTGTAGGACTGGCAGGTAGGAGATTTGGCTGCTTTATGTGCGCTGCAATGCTGTGGGTGGTATTGCAGCAGAGAAACCTCTTTCCACCCTGAATCTTTGCTTCTCTGCCTGTCGGATGGGAGTTGAGCTCCCTTGCCAAGTGCTTCGGGCAGAAAGGTGGACCTGGGCCTGGAGCGCAGCAGGCTCTCCCTACTTCCAGTCTCTTTCTACTTCGTCTACTTTCAGCTTTGATTTCACGGAGAAGGCTGTAAAGAGAAACCATCCGTGCATTGGGGTGTATGGAAGTGGCTTCAAGTCTGGCTCCATGCGTCTGGGGAAGGATGCCATCGTCTTCACCAAGAACGGCGGGGCCCTCAGCGTGGGGCTGCTCTCCCAGACCTACCTGGAACGTGTCCATGCGGAGACAGTGATAGTTCCTCTGGTGCCGTTCAACCAGCAAAACAATATCCTTTCTCAGCCAAGTGGCTGAGCTGTCCGCCCCACTCCGAAGGGCCCCGGGGGGCCCTGCCGCGGTACTGAGGGTCCAGCTGCCCATGCCTGCCCCTGAGCCCCCGCACACGGTGTGAGGCTTGGCGGCGGTGCGAATAACTGCAGTCAGTGCTGCATCTGGAGCACCTCTGCAGCAGGCTCTGCTTTCAGCATGCTGCTGTCACTTGTGCATCTGGTGGGCGTATCTGCCACTCATCAAGGCCAGCCTGGCTCCTGGAAAGCCTTTGCAGTCATGCCACTGACCTGTGCGCTACCTGTTTCTGTCTCTTTCCTCCCCATGCAAGCCCATGCACACCTCCCCAGCCCAGCAGCTCTGCTCCGTGCTGCCGTTGTGCACCGGGAACGACCCTCGGTGCTGCTTTGGTGTGCTGGAATACCTTCAGGCAATGTTGCCATCGTGTCAAGGGAACCAAGGACGCGCAGCTCCACAGCACTGCTTGCACAGCCCCTTTCGTTATTGGCTGGTACGGTGTTGCTGTGTTGCATCCACGCCCCCCGCCCAGGTCAGTACATGGGGTATTTTTCTGCAAAACACGCTGCTGTCATGCCTGTCCTGGCTCAGTCTTTGAGACCCTCCTCCGATAGTCCATAGTGGGTTATGCTTCTCTGGTGTGGCAGGCCTGGGGCTGGCTCTTTGTAGCTGGGGCTTTTTTTTTACCTCTCTTGGCAAAAGGGAGGCAGGGGGACTGGGCAACCCTGTTCTCCTTGACTCTGTGGCTTCTAGAAAAAATAATTGTTACTGAAGACTCTGTGCCCAGCCTGGAGGCCATCCTGCAGCATACCCTCTTCAACACCAGGGAGGAGCTGCTGGCACAATTTGATGCTATCCCAGGCAAGAAGGGCACACGCATCCTCATCTGGAACATCCGCAGGTATGGGGCGGGCAGGCATCGGGGTGGCCAGCCAGGTGGTGGGTGGCCAGCCAGGTGGTGGGTGGCCAGGCGTACCCACAGCAAGGCAGGAAGAGCTCATAGCGCAGGTGGCTTCAGCACGGTCCCTGGCCTAGGAGGGTTGAAGCCCACTCTCGTCCAGTGCAGCCACTTCTTATGCGAAATGGTTACCTGCTTCCCAAAGGAGACCGGGTTGGGGCTGAGCTGCGTGCTGTTGCTGCTCGCTGCCCGAGCTCTGCGGTGCCAGCCTGCTTGCAGGAAGGGGGCTGGGGTGTTTCAGCACGTGAGGTTTCCCTGGCAGCACTTGTGCTGTAGGCACTGAGTTTGCACAAGGGCCTAATTGCCTTGGGCTGTGAGAAGAAGCTGTCTTTTGCTGTAAAATGCATGTGAAGAGCAGCTGTGAGCCGAGGGGATTTCACTGATAAGAGGGGGCTCAGCGTTGTGTTGAGTGGAGCTCATTTTCTTCCCTTTCCCTCCCGTGGCCAGAGCCACCAAGAGCATTCGTGCTATGGGGAGGAGCGTTGCCTCCTCCTTCAGCGTGTGCTGTGTCCCCCGCCCCGGGAAGTGCTGGGGGAACCAACACAGGGATTTCCCCCCTCCTTCTGTGCGACTGAGTGGTTGGGATGCCACCCTGGGAGTTGGGAGAAATCAAGAGTTCTGTCTGTTACAGACTCATTCTTTTTTTAAAGCAAACCAATTAATCCTTTTACTTCCTTTTCCCCTCTGCGCAAGGGAAAACTTCCATGTTTCTGTGTATCACCTATTGTGAAATGTTATACTACTTTGGTGTTCTGCAGAGAAACACCTGCAATTAAATGTTTGACTAATGAAATCTGTGGGCTTTGTGAAAGACACTGCTTTATCTGCTGTTCCCTTGGGACCTTGATACAGAAGAGCAGGCTGCTCAGGGAAGCTGTGTCTTTTGATGCCAGGTTCAAGAGCAAAGGGATGATTTTGGTCATTGATTTCCCTGTAGTGGAGTCCCACTAAGTTGTCCTTCTAGGTGTGAGACTCTTGTGTGATTGTGTTAAAGGTGGTTCCTCTTTGGACCGTGGTGTGAGATGAATGGGAGAGGTTGTCCTTATTTTTGTGTCTGATGTTTTTCAGAAATAAAGATGGGAAGCCGGAGCTGGATTTTGATACGGACGAGTATGATATCCGGTTAGCTGACTTCCTTGCAGAGGATGTGGAGATTGCTGGCAAAAAGGTTCTGCCCTGTCAGGAGATGGTCCAAGAGTTTCCTGCCCCGGAGACAGAGTACTCATTACGGGTGAGTTATTGAGGGCTGAAAGGGAGCCGGGTGGCCCTTCCCCAGGCTTGCTCTGTGCTTCCTAGGCAAGCAGTGAGGGTGACTTGTCTAGTGTCACGTTATGGTGGGCCACCTTCCTCTGGTGCCTTGTGGGGGATGAAAGATGTGGAATCCGACGCAGATTTTGAGTTTGCCTGAAAATGATTATATGGGACCGATGGAGCATCCGATGTCTTCCCCATACCTGGAATTTCTCTCTCCTGTTCTGTTGTGCTGTCCCTTCTCCCAGGCATATTGCAGTATCTTGTACCTGAAGCCTCGCATGCAGATCATCCTGCGGCAGAAGAAGGTGAGCACTCAGCTGATCTCCAAGAGCTTGGCGAACGTTGAATATGATGTATACAAGCCTACCTTTGCCGTATCCTTCCTGACAACCTCTCAGTGCTCTGCTCCCACAGCAGCCTCAGCACTCTGTGGGGTCCAGATCAGCCTTGCAGCTAGGTTTAGGCACAGAGAAATGCAGGATATAAATGAACAGACAGGCTGAAATATCTTCTCCTTCCTGTCTTCTGGTCACCTTTGAGAAGCGAAGTCTTGATGTGAAGATAGAAAGGATCCCTCCAAGCTGCTCCTGGTGGAGCAGGGGTGCCAGGGCTCATGCTGAATTTGAGCTAGTTCTTGCCATGCACTGAGGCCAACGTTCTGTGTCCAGGGAGGATGGGGTGGAGAGGGGCTCAAGGCTTTTGCTGACTGGTCAGTTTTGCTTGGGAAAATAGTTTCTGAAATGTATTTTAAATGACAATGTTATTTCAATTTAGTGGAAAAAACACGTTATGAAAAGTGAGAGCAGAGACCAGAAAAGGCTTTCTGCCTTTCTGTCCCGTTCCTCAGTTGGTTGCTTACTTTTTCCTGACTGACTAGAAGTTGCTAATTTGAGTTCTTAGGGCATGTTGTTTTGTTTATTTTTTTCCGTCCCCTATTGGGTGTTTGGGAGTAAGATTGTTTTTTTTTTTGGCTTACCTGTGGACACATCCTTTTGGAGAAGAGTGTCTCCAGGTCAAAGCCAAGTGCAAAGAACTATATGGCCATCAAATGTGTTCAAATGGCTTCCAGAAAGAACTTTGCTTAAGATGTTTTGAACTACATCTGAGCATCTTTTTCCCCCTCCTCCCATGTGCTTAAGAGGTAGTTTTGTGTCGCAAGTTTCTGTGCTTGCATCAGTGTCTGCGTCAAATATGAAAAAATGTTATTTGCTTAAATTCCATCTCCATTTACTCGGTCAGGAATTGGAGAATGAAGACACAAGTCCTTTCCTGCTGTTGTAGCTTACCAGTAGTTAAGATTTTGTATGCTTGTTGCCCTCTTCGGGGCAACTGCTGAGCCACTATTTTTTGAGATGATTTGCAGAAGTGCAGCAGACTGGAGGTTGGAAAACTGCAGTGGCAGTGCATTTCCATTTGCTGTCAAAGATGTTTTGGCTTTTCATAGTCACTGTGCATGAAATAATCGTTCCTTGAGATCTGGAGGATAACATCTGTTATATACAATGGCATGTAGTGGAAGGCATGCAGTGTGTATGAACATTGCAAATACAAGAGCTCTAACTTTAAGGAATAAGCAAATTAAAAATATCTTTAAGCAATAAATGATTGATTAAATATTTTAATCCTAAAACCAGTTTCCCATCCCCAATAGCAGTCTGTCCAGAACTGAATTTGTGAAACTGGAGTGCGCTGAAAGCGAGCTCTTTCTGCTGTGCTGGCCCATGGTGTCATTACTAGTTGTTAAGGTTTCTTCAGCCTTGACTGTGTGTATTTGTTTTAGTTTTATAAACATTAGCCATTATATCTTTTAATCACAAGTAAAACTTAGTCATTAGTTTATCTTGTTTGTGATATGCTTTGAGGCTGTTTCTTTGGCCAAATCTTGACTCTCCTGTTATCAGCGTAATATAAATGAGGATCAGAGCCTTTCTGGGAGCTCTCACCAATGTGTGTTTTGACTTGGCAGTAGCAGGCTGGCTGCACTCAGTGCAGCTGTGTCCAGCTCGCCTGCAGTCAGTCGTGCTTGCCGTTATCTGCGACTGTTGGCTGCGTGCGCGGGGATGTCATTCGAAGCGGGCTAAGGCTGCGTACTGTTTCCCTGCTAAGGAGGGCAGGTGTTGTGCTGAGGGGTGCGGCAGCGTGCTGCGGCCTTCCTGGGACATTGAGCTCCTCCTTGTCTCCCCGCTCCCCAAAGCTCCTGGTTTATTGCTCCTTGATGAGTTTTTCTGCAGAACAAAAGAGTGAAGATCACCTTTGGATTCAACTGCAAGAACAAAAGCCACTATGGGATCATGATGTACCACAATAACCGGCTTATCAAGTCCTATGAGAAAGTGGGCTGCCAAAGGAAGGTGAGTGGCTGGACTGGTCTTTCGCTCTTTTTTATTTGGAAGAGGGGAGAATGGGGCTTTGCAAAGAGCAGCTGTGACATAGGGCTTCCCTCTTGCACGGTGGCCAGAGTTGAGCCTGGAGACCAGACCTGGTGTTTCTGAGGCTGTGTCCCAAGGATCGAGTGTGCATCTTTACGGTGGGAGCCTGACTGGCTTTTAGGAACTAGAGGTGTCCAGCTGATGTGTGATGCTGCTGTGGTTAGAGGAGCTGTGAGAGGACAGGCAGCTGGCCTCTCCTCCAGGGTGATCTAGGTGGACCTGCTCTGGCAGGACCGCTTTGGCTCTGATGGGAAGCTGGCTCTGAAGCAGTTGCTTCTAGCCGTTATCTTGCAGGAGTATCTCAGAGCTGTGGCACACCTTCAGCCGCAGATAATTCTGGCATGTTACTTAAGGCAGCCGGTGCTCTGTGTCCTTGAAGAAAAAGTTTCAGTACCTACCTCAAATACCCTTGCAGGGATTTTTGCTAGTGGCGCATGCAAATACTGGCAGCCAAATGTAGCTCATACGTTGGTGTGCAAGGGACGAGCCATGGGTTTGCCAGCAACATCTGAACTGGGGGATTAGGAGGGTGTCAGCTCTCCCCAGGGGACTTGTTTCTTTTCTGTTGTGAGCAAAATTGGCTAAAACAGCTCCTTTTCTTCACTGCTGGCCCCGATGCAGGGAGAAGGCGTGGGTGTCATTGGGGTAATTGAATGCAACTTCTTGAAACCAGCGCACGACAAACAGGACTTTGAAGAAAGCAAGGAATATCGGTAAGAGAGGCCTGTGCCCCGGGCTGCTGCTTGGGGAGAGTTTTGCTGTGATATAGCTTTGGGTCTGAGCCACTACACGTGTTCTTAAGACTGTTTATTCTGAAATACCTCCAGACTGGGTCATTTTTTTCCATCTTTGTTGCCCTTAGAGAGCAAGGAGAATTGCATGTCTGGGAAGCCTGGTGCAAATGTAGAGCCCTGAATTGAAGCATGGACACAGTCTGTGTGTTCATCCAGCCCTGGCATCCAGCCAACAGGAATCCAGCCCTAAGAAAACTCCTCCAAAATAAACAGGGCTCCTGTCTCCCGGGGGTGCCGCACTCCACACGCCAGGGAAGGCTGCACTTGGGAAAGGGATTTCTGGCAAGCTAAAACCTGGGCCAGGGTTAAGTGAGGCTCAGGCAGAGTAGACCAAAGCAATTTATTTTTGCTATGCTGCTAGAAAATTGTTCTTAAATTAGAGTAAATAGCGCAGAACTTCAGTGGCTGAGTTCGCAGGGCTCTTTCCTCAGCCGGAAGTGAGGGCTGTGAGGTGCAATGTCTGTGGACATCTGTGCTCTTGCCCATTTTAACTTTCCGCCCCCTGCCAGACTTTGCTAACGTTGCAGTTTAGTGGTTATCTGTATCTTTTCGAGGTGTAGGAGGGTTGTGCTGCTGATTGGCAGGGGTCTTTGTCAGCCGAGCCCTAGGAATTTGCTGATAAGCAAAAGGATGTACAAGGAAACACCCTTGGGCTGATGAAGGGAAGGACCCAACGTCCTGCCTCCTGCACCCTGTGCTCTGTCGCAGACTGAGTCACAGCAAGAGCCTTGTGAGGGCTGGGTTGCGTGTTCGGTGCTGAGTGTGGCTGGGGTCTCTCTGAATACCGAGCTGCAGCTGGGGCAGTCTCTGCTCCCTTTGCTCTTGGTGTGACTTAGTGCTGTGATATGTGTTCAATAGCAGAATACCCAAGGAAGTGATGGCCCCTTTTTGGGGTGTGAGGGGAGGAGGGTGAGCTTGAGTCTGTGCAGAACTCAAATTTGGATAGGACTAGTCAGACCTTGTTAGCCACGAAGGTTTGGTCTGGCTCTGTGTGGCCACATGATGCAGTCTAGCGTGTTTTTGTGCTACACATGCATTTGTGGCCAGGGCGAGTGGTTTCCTGTGCGCTACCCGGCCCTTGGGTCCCCTGGGAGGCCTTGGGTTTGCCCTGATCTGGAAGGAAGGTGTGTGCAACTCCCAACGTCCAAGCAGTGTCACTCCCGAGAGGTAAGCGTTTTAGGCAGCAAAGCTGCCCTCGGAGAGTGGAAGAGGAAGTTTGAATACTTTTTAATGATATTGGCACCTTTTTTGTGACTGTGGGGAGGATGAGATGATAGGGCTGCTTAGGAGCCAACATAAAACCTGCAATTGCACGTCTGAGTTGAGCTCTTGGAGGAGAGATTTGTGTTTGCCCTGGCTGTTCCTCATGCTGCCTCTTGTGCTGCTTGGTGAGATTTTGCTGGCTTCTCACAGTGTTTTCCCTTCCAGGCGGACAGTTACTGTGCTGGGACAGAAACTCAACGCCTACTGGAAAGCGAAGATGGCCCAGATGAATTTGGGAAGCACGGATGCAGGCTGTGTAATAGCGTGAGAGCCAGTTCTGATGTTTATCAGCACTAACAGCCCGAGGGTTTTCCTCAGCCAAGGTGGGATGGGGGTGTGCCACCAGGAGGGGCAGAGGCAGTAGAGAGGTGACTGGACCCCTCCTTCATTTTGGGAGCCACGGTTTGAACCTGTGGAGTTTGGCCCCTTAGTTAGTGGGAGGGATGCCACGCCATGGGCAAGGTGTTCCTGGGAGAGCAGGACGTCAGCACCCAAGACCATGCCCTGTGCTGTGCCACACGGGCCTCGGGGTCGGGTGGCAGCGGTTGCACTGACCGGCCTTTCCTGGTGTTTTTGCTGCACACTTGAGATATTTAGACGATGTGTTGGTTTTTGCAGAGAGAGACCAGATGAGACATGGGTGCAATGTGAGGAGTGTCTGAAATGGAGGAAACTCCCTGACCGGGTTGATCTCGCATTGTTACCAGAAAAGTGGTTTTGCTATCTCCATCCCCTCCACAAATACAGGTAGGGACTCATGGATAGAGTTGTGGGTGGCTTTTCTCCCTGCCATCCCACACCCTTGAAATGCAAATGGTTTGTGTCAAATGTGTGTCCTGCTTCCTGTCCATGCACCTGTGAGTACAGAGATCCCTTAAAATAGGAGATCGTGAGAGTCAGGTCCGTACCGGCATTTGTCCGGTCTCTTCTTGGAAAATGCAGGTATGGAGGCAAAATCCTACCAAAAACCTTGTTGGTAGCTTGTTCCCATTCTCCTCCAGACTTAGCGTATTTGCTTTCTGTCTCTTCCTTAAACAGAAGCCAGTGTTTATAGCACTGTTTTAGTACATGCTTGCTTTGGTCACTGCCTGACCTCTTTTTCTTGATACACTTAAAATAGCAGACTTTCAGCTAGCAGAAACCAGCTGTTTAAATTATAGGATCGGTTTTAGTTAAATGGGCCAACTGAATTACTATCAAGTGGCAAAACTAAGAACGAAACACGATTTCTTGTTGGAATCTGCTGACCTGTTGGAGAATTAAAAAAATTTTCCCTACCAGGAGCATCAACTGAAGTGCCAAGTGGTAAGAACTGATACAAGTACTTAAGACTTGAGACCAACCAGGTGGATTTTACTGAAAATCCTTTTCTCTTTTTAACAAGTTTCAGCAATCAATTTAAATAGCTGAATCGCCTTTATGCACTGAAATTTGGAGTTCCACAAAGGCTATAATAAAATAGTCTTCATGATAAGCCATTAAGGAAATCATTTGGCTTTGGGATGAGGGGGAAGTTTTTGTGGCATAGAAACTAGATAATAAAGCCACTTTTCAACAGACAAGGCGGCTAACATAGGACTGCCTCAATTTAAAGCTATTTGATGCATTAAAAAGTCAGTGATCTGAAAGAGGAAGCAAAAGAAATTACAGATGGGAGACAGTTCTGTGTCAGGCCAGACAAATGGGCTGTGGGACTTGTGAGTATCTTGAGACTGACCTGCTTCAACTAAGCAATCAGACAGCAAGCTAATGGAAGAGCAAGTAGCTCTTCCATTGGTAGACAAGTAGACAAGTAACGTGGTAGTAGTAAAGTAGACAATGGTAGACAAGTAACGTACTGTGAAAGGAATAATTAGGATTGCCTATGTATACAGATCGTTTCTAAGTTAGCAGTATCATCTGAAGAGGGAGGCTTAAGAATATTTTGGACAGTTCAGTGAAAATCTTTGCAGTGCCTGTGGCTGTCAGAAAAGCGAAGATAAATCCATCAAGAAGTTACGCGTAGGGTTAGTAGGTTTATTTTAAGGCTAGAGAATATTAGAAACTTTCTGTCTGGAGTTCATGATACGGCCATACTTGTAATGCTTTCCTCGGTCGTGGACAGCCAGGTTAAAAAAAATAAGGGTGGTCTGCACAAATCCTGAGAAGCAGAGCAGCACTTCTGTCAGAGGAGAGGAGGTGCAAGTAGGAGGGATGTGATGTAAAGATAACTGTGACCGTAAGCGAGTAACTGTGATGGAGACTTAGCAGCTTGTGATAGATCCACAGTAGTGCTTATGTTTCTTTTTGAACTCATATGTGCAGGATTTGTACCATGTGCTTCAGGACATGGCTGTTGCCATGAAATTAATCACGGTGACAGTTTCTTTCCTTTGAAGCAGCTGGTATTAGTGGTCTGTGCTCCCCAGGTTGGCTATGATGCGTTTCTCAGTGCACTCAAAACTGAAACAGAATGGCTGGCATGCTACTTGGTGTGCTGAACTGTGGTTTCATGGTTTGTGCTTCATTGCTCTTCATCTGTGTTATTTTGGGAGTCAAGTGGCTCTTTTTCCTCCCTCTGTCCTTAAGTGCAATGTTTGACTCTTCAGCTGTTTCCATGGCCTTACCTTATCTGAAATCCTAAAGGAGTAGAGACTCCTAAAGGAGTAGGACAGATGCCCAAACCATGGAGATTTTTGGTGAAAGGAGGAGCCAAACTGTTCTTTCACATATTGAGATGTGATGGACTGTTTTTCTTGCAGAAACTGCTCAGCACCTGAGGAGCAGGAAGCCAGCGATGAGGAGAAGAGCCCCAGCTACAGCCAGAAATGCAAGAAGGGGTGAGAGTGTCCAGTCCCAACTTGCCACTCAGCTACCTGGAGCCAGAAGGCAAGAGGGAAGTCAGGTGTCTCCTTGCCCAGCAGTGACACCTCCTGCGTGGTCACTGCTGGTGCAGGAGATGTCTGCAGCTTTTCTCCTGCATCCTAGGCTCCGTCTTCTGGCAGAGAGAATGTCTTACCCTTCCGTATGACAGCACACTTGCTCCTTTTTTCCCTTCCATGGTCTAGGGAGCCGAGTGCAGAGAGGAAGAGGAGGAGGTCGTCGTCGTCGTCCTCTGGGGAGAGTGTGGAACAGCAGGTGAGACAGACAGGAGATGACTGCGAGAGCCAGCGTGGGGAGAGCCTGCTTAGCGCTGCAGGGCTTGGCAGGTTCTCATCCCTGCTTCACTGTTGTTCTCCTTCCCTCCTCCTGCTGAGAGAGAAGCCCACAGGCGAAGAGAGAGCATCATATAAAATGAGACACCAATTCTTATTTATGCACAGCTTATGTTTATAACTCTTAACAGTAACAGGGATCAGGGCAGTCCTAGCCCTCTGCACATCCTGACCCTGTCCTGCGTAGTCCCAGTGCGTTCATTACTGTCTCTCCTGGCTAGAAGAGGATGTGGCAAGCTCTCTGCTTCCTCTCCTGGGGTTGCAGGGTTGATTCTGTGTGGCCTCCTTCCCTTTTTTCAGGTTAACCAGTTATATAAAGACTCTGATGTTTTGAATTTTCAGGAGAACTGTCTTTCGGACACGGCTGCCCAGGATGGGTTCTCCGGGCAGCTCTGGACACTGCAGCATGTGATCAGGTTGGCCGACCGTTAGGGACAGTTCCCTCCCAGCACTCACCGTGGTGTTCAGATATCTTCCTGTGGCCCTCCAACCCCAGCCTAGTGTCTCTGCATGCCCTCTTCCCAAAGATACCTTCATGTCGCATGCTAGACTAGTGTTTTTCTCAGTGAGTTGGAAAGGACAAACCTGGTAAGGACAGGGGATTTCTCACCCCCCATGCACGCTTTTTTTTTTTCCCGTGAGCCATCTCTAGTAAACCTGCCTATTGCAGTGCACGTAAGTAAATGAGAGTTTGATCACTGTCACAGAGAATCTGGTCTGACTTGAGCCTTGGAGGCTCTCTGGGAGTAACTCTGTCCTCACTCATGTTTGTCATCTCTTCCATGCTGTAGTAGCATCAATATCTCCGCTCTCCTCTTCGTTGCTCATTTTTCCTCCCTGACATGGTTATCTCGTGTTATCCCAGGTGCATGTATGTAGAAAGAGAGTTGGTTTGTCTATTGCATGTTTATCTATAACAAGCATGAAAGCTCTCTCTGCACAGCAACAGGTGCTTTGTCGAAGCACAGAGGAACTAAAGCACCATCCCCCAAATCAAGGATTTGCAGCCTGAAGCACGAACTGTGCCACCTGTGGTATAAGATAGTGGGATGGGAAGGGAGCGCTGTTTGCTCTGGGGACAGCATCGCTGAATATTTGGTGTGAGTTCGTTAATCGCAAGGAGGACTGTGCTGGGCTCGCAGGTGGCAGAGCTCCCTGGAGTGTGGCTGCCAGGACTGGGGTCAGTCACTGCTGGTGAAATGGATGCTAGAAGGCATGGTCTGAGGGATTAGGAACTGATCTCTGCTGATTGCCTCCCAAGGATGGTTATTGGTTAGGGCATCTTGATTTAATACCTGGCTGGTGGAACCTGCTCAAAAGGGGCTCAGTTGTCTTCTTGTGCCTCTTTCCTCTTGGCTAAGGCTTGGTTTCCCATGGTGGCATATTGAGGGCTGTGGTCTTACCCTTTTTACGTGTTTCTTTCTTCCCCAGGTGTCATCCTCTGCATTAGTGCCCTGGCCGGCTCGGACCAGCAGTTTCACCTGCACTGTGAAGCTGGAGCCTGAGGAAAAGATTGCTGATGGGAACACTGCCTCTCCCCCTCCTCTCAAAAAGATCACTGCAAGTCAGACAGGAGTTGGACCTCAAGAACCAAACACCTCCTTGACAGCAGGGTAGGTAGTAGGTTGCAGGCTCCTGGCCCGCATCATGGCCCATCTTCTGTCGTCATGCTTGGATCTGTGCCAAGGCCAGTGTGGCAAGGCTTGGTGAGATGTGGTTTGGTAGAAGGAGAGCATGGATCTGTCCTTGGTCATCTTCCCCATCCTCTCTTTTTGAGATGGGTCTGCGGGACTCAAATGCTGCTTCACCTTCTCACATCCGGACATGGAAGTGAAGCAGGGTGGGACAGAAGGAGGAACAGAAACGCTTGTCAAGTTGGTATTTTTAAGTACTCCTAGTTTCAGCTCAGCCAGCGTCCTTTCTCTGTCAGTCAGTGCCAACACCTTCACAACCCTGTAACAAACTCTTTCCTCCCTCCACCCCGAAGGCAGCCTTGGCTACCCCCTGCAGTGGGCTATATCCCACTGTAATCCCTGTGGTCCTAGGAGATTGCTGGTTTATCTCTCCCCCAGCAGGTATCGAACAGAAATTACTTGGTGGATGAGGTTAGTTGTGTTGTGGATTGGGGGCACTCCTGCCTGCTTACCCTCTCTCTCTCTGTCTCTTTTGTTTTCTGTGTTTTTTTTTTTTCCTATTGGTTTGTAGCAAGCCCAACTTGACTATAAAAGAAGAGCTGCTGGAAAAGCATGAGGAGCAGATGGAGGTTTCACCCCCAGATCTGACTTGTCCCAGCCCCCCTCCTTCCCCACTTGGGAAGAGTTTTGCAGTACCTTACCAAGACAGGGAAGACCTTATGTGCATAAAACAGGAGACAAATGTAGGTGGCAACTTGCACACCTATTTGCTCAAAGGACTGCCGGGCACCCTCAGCAGCCCCAGCCACGCTAACAGTGCATCACACTGGGATGGATGCTGTCGCAGGGAAGACACTCCAGCATCACCCAGTAGCTCAGCAGGAGATGAGAAAGGGACTGGCACGGTCCAGGGGGAGCTGGAAAACCAAATGCCAGACTTAGTAGCAGAAAGACAGGCTGCAGACTTGAGCGTTTGTGTGAACGCATACAGGAGCACAAAGGACATGGACAAGAGACCCTTTGTGGCAGTTGTTGGTGTTTCGAAGGCTGCTGCGGGTGGTGAAGCTCCCATTCAACTCTTCCCTTTTGGGTGGAAAGAGAGACTTGACAGGCCAAAGGTGAGGAAGGCCCCATGCCTCAGGATTGGAGACAGAGGAGGAAGACAATTGCAGGTCTGGAACCCAGGGGAGCAAGAGGATATAACGGAGCAGAACATGAGAAGAGCAGTGGAGAATATCTCTGTGGAACTGAAGAATATTTCAGCAGAGCGGGATTTGCTCCGGTGCAAGGTAACTAATTTGTGGCTGTGCATCCCAACTGGTTAGAAGGGTACTGGAGAGGGCTGGTCCAAGTTGGTTGCGCAGGAGAGACGTTTCCATAAAGAAGGTAGTGGGCTTCTTCCTTTATCTGCTGACTCTTCATTTCTCCTTCAGGCCTGACAAAGCTCTTTTTATCTTGCTGATTGGTGTCATTTCTATGCGTGCACCTTCCTCTCCCATTTCAGGTGGAGGAAATAGAGCATGAGAAGTGCTACCTGAAAACAGAGTTCTTGAAAAGCCAGCAGGAACTGGCAGTGCTCAGAGCTCAGGAGACTGAAGGCTTGTACTGGAGCAAGAAACATATGGGTTACCGCCAAGCTGAGGTGCAGGAGCTGAAAGCAAAGCTGGAAAGGTCCACAGAGGAGAAGGCTGAGCTGATGGAGAGACTCAAGGAGACAGAGATGCACTTAGAAGTGCTCAGAGAGGCACAAGTTTCCTGCAGGGGCCCAGAGAGAGGAGATGTGAAGAGGTCAGAACTTGGTTTGGTTGTCCCTGTTGGTCCTAAGGTGGGGGAGAGGGCAGGAGTAATTGTGGGCTGCCATTTCCATAGGACACTGCTATCCTGGTATCCATCACCCTGATGACTGGATTATAACTGAGGATCCTGCTGTTGTGAGGGGGTGGAATCAACAGATGAATCCAAATAGTTGATCAGGCTTCAGAAATGCCATACAAAAAGGTGCTTTGTCTACTCTGGCTTGTCCTGCACTGTAACATGTTCTTGCTGAATCACTTGCACAGTGTTGGGTCTGTAGCGGAGATAAGAGTGGGGTGGAGCAAAGAACCCCTGGGGCACATAGTACTCCTGGGAGGAAGGAGGACAGCAGCTGAGTGTGTGACAGGAGGAACTGGATCTAGGTTTGTGCCACTGACTCCTCTCTTGGCCTTTCTCCTCTTGCCCACAGTGTTATGGAGAAACTTAAGAACCTGCGTATGAACGTGAGCTGGCTTCTCTCGTTGGTCCTCCCACACTTGGAGCTCCAGGAGATTAACTTTGAGTCGGATCAGGTGGATGAGATCTTGCAGACTGTACTGGAGACAAACCGCATGTTGGAGTAGTCCGTTCTCTCCTGCCGCTGTGCTTTTGTAGAGTATCATTAATAAACCCCTGGTTTCTTTACTTGTGCTCTAGGCCATCATTCTGGTGGGGCAAGGGTCTTCCCTTCTAGCCGTGCCCCAGCCTGCAGGACCAGCAGGGCTCTTTGCTCTCATGGCTGGGAGCTGGCGTTCCCCAGGCAGTGGAAACCCAGTGGCGGTGGGAGCAGTGGGGACTGCAGCACGGACTCAGCTCTGCGCAGTTGACCTGTGTCCTGCCTGGCGAGCGAGCACTGCTGAAGGCCTCTTTGCTCCTCAGCACTCTGGACTGAGTAGCAGAGAGGCAGGGAAAGCTGGCAGCGGGTGCCCAGCACTTGATATAACAAGTATCCCAGGGGAGCGCAGCCCGGACACGCTGCACTGCCGGGCAAGAGTCCTCTTGTGGCTAACATGGCTGGCTTGCTCTGTCCCTAGTACGACGTGGTGGGGCCCAGGAGCTGGACCCTGGCTCTCTGGGCAGCCATCTCCAGTTACAGGCCCAATTGGCCCAGGCAGCAGCTAAACTGGGTCCTTGCCTGCGTTTTTCTCCTAAGTGCATCTTTGTTTGTTAAATAATGGAGCGAGACAAGGTTCTTTGAGCTAATTTTATCTTCCCGTGTAGCTATGGGAACCGTTGGTTGTACAGTGACGTCGGGGTGTGCAGGCAGCTCTTCTGCAGGGTGCTGGCTAGCGTGGCTGACCAGGTGCTGTCTTGTGTGGGAGCTTTTCCCATTCAATTTTCTTTTTAGGCTTATTTTCTTAGCCTCTTTATAGCCAGCAGCACGGCTGTTCTTTCAGGAAGGGGAATGTGTAGGAACGTGAGGTGTTTGGGTGCAGATGAGGGGCTTGAGAGTAGCCGGCCACGACCCAGAAGGATGGCCATGCTCAGACCAAGGTGGGCTGTAGCTCCAGGTCCTGCCTCCAGCATGGTTCATGGGAAGAAGTTAAAAGACCAAGACAAGAGAATATTATATATCCTCAATATCGTTCTAGCCTTTGCTTATTTCCAGCTTGGAAGCTTTTTAAATTAAATGTGCTTTCTTGGAGGTATAGAATGATTGACTTAGAGGAGCTGAGCCCCAGCAGTGGCTTTTCTGCAGTCAGTAGATGCTGTGCCTGTCTACCATTTCTGACTTGTGTTCCTCCTGTTTTTCTAGCTGAATCCTATTTTGTTTTCAGTTCATGTTTCTAGATCTCAGAGCTGTTTCTGTGACCTCTCCTGATGTTTTCAGACTGTGCTGTTTTCTGTGTTTTCAGGTCAGTATCATGCATGGTAATACTTGAGTTTTAAGGTTAGCTCCCTTATCTCAATGCATGGTTTGAAGGTAGCATGTCTTATCTCCATTCATAGTTTTTTTTTTTTTTTGCACTTTTTCTCTCTACAGCTCACCAGCTGGTCCTCAAACTGTGGGGCGGTTTATACTGTGCCCTCATGGCATTTAATTTTCAATAGAGCTGTTGAGGAGACTGAATCTCCATCAGGAAAATGCTGATGAGTCAGAGTTCCCTTTTGCATGGTTGGGATGCTTCTACACTCATTTTACAGTTGCATGAAATGCCGTTTCCAAGGTGCAAAATAGCTAGCTATTGTGGGGAGCTGTCACCGTTCTGACTGTGCTGCGTTTTTTTATCCCATATGCCAGTCCTCCTTTGAATCATCTACCTTTGGTAAAGGAAGAGATAGAACCTTATTTTCTTCTCCAAAGATGCTGCTAAAGCAGGAAATGTGCACACCTCCTTCAGGCTTGATCTCAATGTTCTTCTCAGCATGTATATGTTAAGCTAGTTACCTCAGTTGTTGCTCCTCTTTGCATTTTGTTTGTTCCATCCCATTGTAGCTAGCTCTGAGATCTGAGGTTTATCCCTAATACTTTGTGACCTTATTTTTTGAAAGGTTATTTCCAGACACCTCCGGTGTTTCTCATTTTTTCACACTCTGCCTGTTTTTCAACACAACTCCGACACTCTTGAGTCACTGCTAGAAAAAATAGCAAAGGCTGTTAAATAGCATTAGTAACTGATCTTAGCAGCCTGTACTTTGTTTTATAAATGGAAACTAAAAACTGCTTTCCTGATACTTTGCCAGCCTGGCTGTCATGGTGGGAACTTGGAGACCTTTGTCAGCTTCTCCTTATCATCTAGGTAATTAATTTCTTTTGGAGCAGACTTTATGTCTGAAGAGTTAAGTTCCTCTTTGCTTCTTGTCTGCGAAGGTCTTTGTGCCACCGTTCTGCTGGATGTTTGCAGCTTTCCTCGACAGGGATGGAGGTGAGCGCTCGTGGGGAGCAGCGCGTTCGCCTCTGCACGGGAGCCTTCGAAACGTCACCGTTTCTCTGTGGTCTTTGACGGCAGGTAAGGTGCTTGCTGGGGAGGAGGAAGCAGAGGCAATTTGGGGCATTAATGATCCTCTAAGGAGCAGAAGCCAAAATGCACCAGCACTTCCAAGACCTGATAGCAGTGGGGCTGGCAATGATCTGGTCCGCGGTAGAGGCCTGCAGGCGTGGAACCCTCCCTTGACTGTGCCTTTTGACAGCAACCCAGCTGCCGCAGCGGGGAAAATCCACAGGGGCTGCACAGCTCGAAGCTCCTCCTGTTTTAATTCCTGTGCCCCGGGGAAAGGGTGACGCATTTGCCTGATGTACAGCAAACAGCCGCGCAGGTGTTAGTGATAGGAGTGAGCTGTGCTGAGTGAGGAGGTGGCGAGCAAAGGGCAGCTGCGATGCAAACGTTGATAGAGGCAGATCCGGGAGCCTTTAGAAGTGTTTTAACAGCTTTTGAGCAGTTTGCAGGTTTCATACTCTCACCACTGTGTCTTACATTACCAGCAAGGCAAAATATATGCTCTCTGCCCTGATACAGGGTCGTTGAGAAAAATAAATCAGATTAAGAAATGACAACATAAAGAAATAACAGAAACAGTTGTGTGATGGGGCATTTCCTAAATGAATGTAGCTTGGCAAACAGTACAGTTATTTATTTTCCTTAGATAAGCTGGTATCAAAGGTACCTGGTTTTGAAACTTGGCACTTCTCTCCTACATCTTGCAAAGCTCGCTCGCTAGCACCCATGCCAAGGCAGGCTGGTGCCGTAGTAGTTTGGGCAGATTAAGTTGTATATCGAAGATAAATGCTCATTGCAGGTGAGGAAGTCTGAAAAGGATCTCAAAGATAAGCCCGTTTGGCAAACCCTTTTGCTCCCGGAGCTCTCAGCTTCTGCCCAGACAGCACCACGCTGTCCCTCATAAAAGAGGGACTGCGGCAGGCAGCCCTGGCTCAGAAGGGAAATATGGCCTGTTTTGTGGGGATGTTTTACTTGTTTGTTTGTTTGTTTGTTTGTTTTTAAACCTGTTTTAACTCTTTACTTCTCAATGTTGCACACAAAGTGTGCAAGTGTCCCCTTGCAACCTCAGCTCAGACAGGAGGTATGAGGAGGCAGGGAAGAGCCTAATTCAGCCAGGAGAGCAGTGCAAGTGGTGTGGGTTTCTCTGTCCCACCGGGAAGCTGGGAGTTTTAGCATGGTGTTTTGCGGGCAACCTCCTCCCATTTTACAGAGATTTCCTGTAGGAAAAGGTGGGAGCTCAGCCCTCCGCTGGGAAGGGTAGCTGCACTCAAGGACAACTGAGGATAAACTTGTCTCTTCCTACAAGGCTGAGTTGCTTTTCCTGTGTGTGTGGCCATGTTTATTCCCCCAATAAGGCTTTTATTCGGTAGCAATGCTGAATTTAGGAGAATTATCTGGATTTGTCTGTGCAGTAACACTAACCTATTTGCAGTTGTAAATTTAAAATTTGTGAGCAGGAATCAGCCCAAGGGGCATAGATGTGATGCTAGCCCCTATAGCATGCCTGGGAGATGGGATATTGCAGTTTTAGGAAGCGGGTCATATAATTCACAGCAAGATCCTTGTGTGTGAGCAGGCCCTGAGATGTTACCTGCGTGGCCCCACAAAGATCTCATGTTGACAGCTCTGCCTGGGGAGACTTAATTTATGTTAAGACCCCCCACAGCAGCAGTTCTTTACCTTGTCCCCTAGTGCGGAGTGGAGGGGATTTGTGCTGTGAGCCACTTGCCTCTTCCTTTGCTTTGCCCTGGGGCACCAAGGTCCTTCCCTTCACTGAGGAATGCCTCCGGTCACAACAGGCTCACTCTCCTCACCTCAAGATCAAGGATCTGGTTTTTTGTTTTGTTTTGTTTTGTTTTATTTTTATTTTATTTTAATTTCGTTTTATTTTTATTTATTTTATTTTATTTTTTTTACCAACTGCTGCCTCTAATCAGCTGTGTTTCCTCTGCCTGCGTGGAGATGGGGACAGGCCAGCAGCCGTGGCCTGAGTGACCTGACTTCTGGATTGCCATCTGGAAACCCCGCAGACGTGAGGTGTGTTGGGGAGTGGAGAATGTCAATGAGGAAGCCTGCAATCACAGGGAAGATAGGGCTGAGCAGAGATTAATTGCCCTGTCTCCTGCTTGGGTTCTGGAGATTTAGAGCCTGGCCTTTACTGAGGCCAGGGGAAAATCCAAGGCTAAGTAAGAGCACTGTGGTCTTGCCTATAAAAATATAGAGGAATAGTTCAAAGGGCACAGGGGCACCTGGGCCATGGAGCCAGTGGTGGTGAAGGTCTGGCCTGGTCTTTAAGACCCACAAACTCCCTGAGCTTCTGTACGGCTTGGAAAATAGACTGAAAGGTGGAGCTGCTTTTGGCCCCAGTGCTGAGATTCCTCCTCGTTCCCCTCTCCCCAGAAAGGAAAGGGCTAAAAATCTGGGTGAGGAAAAGACATCTGTCAAAGCCATCTTAGGAGCCATCTACCAGGTATAGTAAGTTCTGGGACTTTGCTCTGGTGATCTGAAATACCTAGAGATAGGTTTTCCAAAGAAGTGAGTTTAATGCAATCGTGCTGTTTATGATGCGTGTCTTGGCCTGGTTCCAGTGGTCTGGACATCCCAGAAATGGGAGGTATTATGAGTTTTGTGGGGAAAAAAAAGGTACTTGCCTCAAGAAAAGGTAAGTTCCCCTGTGTGAGAAAAGCTTCATCAGAGCACGCCCATCCTTTGAAACCCTATTGGCGTCCCTGGTTCCTGTGCTTATGGGATGGCTTCTTGTTTTTTGCAGTCTCTTGGCATGCTTTGCAGGGACATTGCTGCCATTGTTCCAGGCGGTGCTTCTGGGAGGTTGAAATCTCTGCCCACAAACTGGAAGAGGGTCCCTGTCCCTTGACCCAGGTGCAGACGAGAGCTGCTGTCTGTCCTTGGGTGCCGTCAGTGAGCCCCTCAGACTTCTGCTCTCCGGGGAAGGGAGCTGGAGTGAGAAGGCTGCTTCCTAACTGCAGCCATGGCACAGCAGAGTAGCATGAAAGACCGAAACTACTTTGCTAGCACCTCCATGGGCTCTTCTCATGGCCTGCATGGGGCTGCTGGGAAGCACCTTCCCTGGGTGCTCTAGTCTCTAAAGATCTGGCCCAACAAAACAGGCTCCAAGAAGTCAACTGGCACTTTCTAGGTGTGCAACGTCAAGCTCTCCGGAGGAGCCCTGCTATGTCTTGGGCCTAAATATCTTGTAGATGTGAATTTAGGTTAGCAGTTCCCAAAATGTTAGTGCTCCTGGATTGCAGCCCTCAAGTGTCCCCATGTACCCTGAGCATGGAGGTAAAAGAGCACGTAAATTGGATTGCTTGGAGTTACTCCGTGGACCGTTTAATGTGGTTGTGGCTCATTTTGTTCATGGATTGGTCTTAGGATCCTCTGGTCTTGATCTCTTTCTTGTGGTGCCCTGCTGTTTAACCAGAGATCGGTGGTGGTATTGTTGAGGGTGCGGTACAATTAGTCCTCAGTTCTCTAGGTCCTTCCTGGTTCTCCAGGACCGATTTTCACTAAAGGTGAATGATCTGCTTTTACCAATATTTCTAAAATCCCTGCCATAGCTTATTTTATACTGCTATAAAAGTGTTTCTTGCTGATATAGCTGATTTTACTTGCTGAATTGGTGCTGGCTCTACTGATAAAGCTTGTTCTTGGTGCTATAGAGGGCATGTGTGCCAGGTTTGCCAAGATCACTAATCTGAAACTTCTCTAGTGTAGATTACACTCAAATTACAGAGAAATATGATTGTTAAGTTAGTATAATGCCTTTAAGATCAAACCCCTGTCTTCTTCACGGGTGCAACATGTGGGTTTCTACGACAAACAGTTTTCATAATTCTCCTGATAGCTTTCTGAGCTGCCATCCCAACCCAGCTAGGAAGGCGCTTTCTAGCAGTCTCTTCTGTTGTGCCCAAAGATCCATTTCCCCTGCTGTGCTGTGCAGTTCATTCTGCGCCATTTCCCTCATATTTTTCTTTAAAGATCTTCCTCCTTCCCTGTTTTCTGTGTTCTTGAGCTGCTGCTGCTTTTTCTTTCCTGCAGCCCTGCTCTGAGTCATCCCTTGGACAAAGGTGCCGTGGCTGTTTCTTCTCACACCTCAGTGTGGGGACAGAGAAGTTGCTGGTGATTCGGTGCGATGTCCTGTGGGATTCCCAGCACTCCCTAATATCAGGTGAATTTTGCTGCTGCTATTATTGCCTGTTGGCACCTTAAGTCTTCACTCCTGTGACTTGCTTTCCCCAACCCCAGGGCACTCTAGTTGTGCAGTGACTGTTGTTTTTGCGGTCTTGCTGGCATGGTCTTTGGCTTCGTATTCCTGCATCACTGCCAGGTTCCCCCATCTGTCCCAGGGTCCTCCCACAGCTCCTTGCTTCCTTCCCGTGTAGGAGAGGGCAATGATTTCATTTCAGATCCCAACCCTGGTCCCTTCCGCTGATTTCTCATTCCCCCTCACCTCCTTTGCAAAAACAGAACAGTTGGTCACTGGCAGTCTTGCCTTGCTGTCCCAGCTGTGTGACTCGAGACAAATTGTCCCCAGGTTTTTGCGAGGGCAAGAATGTTTTGAGAGTAAAGGATGATGTAATTCCCAACCGAGCAGCATGCACAGACACCCTGAGGTTGCTGTTTTTTGGGCTAGAGCATGGCCACCAGCACTGGTGTTAGAGTGGGGTCTGGGGCATGGTTAGGTTTGAGGGTATACCTCCATTTCCCACCAGCACAGGATGTGACTTGGGTGAATGCCTACTGCAGCCTGCAAGTTATGATTTGAAGAGCTTGAGAGCAGCCTGCCTCCATAGCCTAACCTGCTAAGTATCCTCTGCTCCCCTGAACGGCTGCTTTAGAAGCTCACTGGGGTAGGATGAGGTTGTCCTTCCCCGACATCTCCAGAGGGTGCTGGTTATGGACGGACCAGCGGTGATTCAGAGCACCTAGAGAGGAGGATGTGAGCTTGCATCTTTGGCTTTGGTTTACACCCAGGGAAGGGGATGGTGCCTTGCCCCCCAGGTACTCCAGTACCTCCTCCTCATACTGCCTTCTTGCTTACTAGCAGACCCCTCTGAAAAGGCAGCCCTTCTTTGCCAGGGGGCTGGGAAGCTCCCAGGCACAGCGAGGGAGGGAGCTAGGAGCTTGCTGTGGGCCATGGCCGGGAGAAAGGCGGAGGGTGGAGGAATGCGGAGGCTGTTTCCAGGTGCCTCGGCCCACAAGGAACTTGGCCTGAATTTTCTTTCCCCTCCTGCCTTGCACGTCCGAGTACCTTCCCTGGGCTGCACTGAGGACTGTGGGCAGAGATGGTCCCTGCCAGTGCCTCATCTCCTCCTCCTCCGAGAGCTCACTCAGATGTGTCGCTGCTGCCTCTGTTCAGTGGTCCTGGGCCAAGAAAGGAGGCAGAGCTCTAGGGTGCTGAAAGGGGCTAAACTCCACTGGCCTGGTGAGGTTTGCTGGGGAGGCGTGCAGTCTGGCTGAGGAGGGGGACGAGCCTGTGCCCCCTCCTAGGGGGTGTTCCATGGGGTGGGATGTCCCGGGGGAGACGGGTGCTACACGCTCCCTTCCTTGAGGCAGGGCAGGACCGCGGGAAAATACTGCCGTGCCGGGCAGGGAAGACAGCAAGGGGCTGGAGAGGTCCCCAGGGGTGGCAGTGGGGGACAGGGCTGGCTGCAAAAGGCTTGGACGCCAGCACATGTCATTTTAGCCTGGTGTGTAGGTGCTGGGTGGAGGCAACGTGGCCAAAACGTCGCTCTCGCAGCTGTACGATCAGGTTGTGGCCCCTGGCCCAGGTGCGGCTGCAGGTTTCTGTGTGCTGGGCAAGTTTATAGTGCCTCTATTGCTTTTGAAGATAAGGGCATGTTAATATTTTATTGCCCCCTCTTTTCATCTGAGACACCGTTCGGCACAAGAAGGTGAGCAGGGAAGGACTCGTTCCCCACAATAGGGGATTAGTCATCGGAGCGAGGCCCTGGCCCTCCTGAGCGAGGTCGAGACTCCCCGGCTCTGAAGATGGTGCCCTGCAAGGTGGTGGCTCTGTTCTGCTTCCCACTCCATGTCCCGCTCACATCCCTCGTGTCCCATCTGGGGCCCTGCTCTACCACGGCTCTCCTGCCAGGAAAGCCCTGAGAACCTGTTTACTCGAGCACCAGGCTGGTCCTGGGAAAGCGTGGGAGCCGAGAGGTGCCAGCCCTCCCCACGATGCCAGCAAGGAGCGCAGCGGTCCATGGGCTCTTCCAGTGGCATGGGGCCATGGCCGTTGCCGACCAGCGGGGCTGGCTCCATCGCTCTGGCCAGGCTCGGCATAGCCACCCAAATGCTGAGTTCTGGTGACATTTGCTCTACAACGAGGTGCTGGAGCCCCATGAGAAGGAAGAGGCTCCCAGGTCAACCTAAGCTTCCTATCTGCTCCAGCCCCAGGCTGGGCCGCCTCCAACCTGCCCTCAAAGACCTGGTTTATCTCAGTAACAGGAACCAGGGCGATGGCGAGAGGTGGGGATAACCTGTCTTTGTGCACTCGGTGCCTTTCCCTGGCCTCCAGCCTGCCTTTAAGCAAGAAGCCCCAGCTCGCTGCCCCTGTGGCCCTCTTGCCGATGCGCTGCCGCAGCCAGGGGATTTCCTCGCTGCCTTTCCCACGGCTCTGGTTTCACCGTCTTGCAACAGCAGTGCAGGCACAGCCACTCCGGCCCCGCGCCGGCTGCCGAGGGTGGGCACATCTGCTCTG